TTTATGAACACAAATCTTTAAACAATTACAAATTGCCATTAATTATTTGGAGCTGAAAGGTATTTTCTAAAATATAGAATAGATGATAAATATCTTAAAATAGAGATTGAATAGAAATGTTTATTAGGAACATAAACAGGATGGGATAAGTCCCCAGGAGACATCCAAAATGAACCAGTGCACCATGCTAGTAAGAATCAGAGGGCTCCAAGTGAAAATGTGCATTTAAATGACATTTGATATTGCCTCTAATGACCCCTTAACTAGCCTTTAGTATTTGATCGGCTTTCAGTTTTTCTGCTGAAGAAATGTTTAAAAAGAAGAAAAGACCATTGTTGAATATAATCAGCTTGCTCTCTAATTTGTCTTTGTGTATCTAATTCAGACATGAAATCTAATAGGAAAATTTTGATCTCCTTGACTTTTCTCACAGAATTAAATTAAATTAAATCTCACAAAATTAAAAGGAAAGTTGACGATTGGTGTTTTATTATGTAAAGGTGATATTGCATTGTCTGTTGCCCCAAATACCACTTTATTTTCCTCAATTGAGAATTTCCAAAGAATAGCATGATAGGACAGTGCAGTTTTAGGCAAAACTGTACAACTTTGCTGTTGAAAGTCCTGATTAAACACGAAGAGATGACCCCTTAGATTGAAGGAGTCACATTCTAGGTATCATTACAGTGTTAGAGTAAATTTCAGCACATTTTTTTCTATTCCTCATTCCGCTTTAGGGTTTCTTACCTCCAGGAGAGATGTAGAAACAATTGAGTTGAGCTTCACGCACCAAAGTACCCTTAAACTTGACCTCCGTTTCAGCAGACAGGTGACTAGGAAGTGGCTGGTATGCAGGTGTAGAAGGTTGAACAAAGGCTCGGAGCATTGTCAATTTCCAGATATATACTGATTGGTTGATTTTGAAAATTAAATAATTATCCTGCTCATGATCTTCTCTCCTTGTAGTTTTTTTAAGACTCAGAAGGCATTCCCGCAGTTAGTTTAGTGCCACAAAAGCTTACATGACCATATAGCATTGCTGCAAATGTAGGTTCCAGTACTTTAAGTTTTAGAATTAAAAAAAAAAAAACAACCCACACCTTCTTTCTTGGTTCTTTTCAACCTTGTCTTTTTCTGTCTTCTCTGCTCGCTGCCTGTGTAGGGATGGGCCTCCCACCAGTGGCTTTACAGGAAAACTTGGATTGAAATGTGAAGTTCATGGTTTCTGTCAGCCTGTCAGCTCATCGCCTCCCTAAGGCATGATGATCTCTGGTTTTTATATATCACCACAGGCTGCTTTGATAGACCCTCTTGTGTGGAAGAATGATAGGTTTGTCCAAGGGTTGGTAGACCTTGGGCCTAAGAGGCAGAAAACTTCAGCTGGAATGTGTACTTTAATGGAATTCACAGCTCCTTTCTAAGTGGAATGCAGCTCAACTTGCAAAACTATTTTAGGGAGAGAAAAAAGTTAGTCTCAGTTCTACATTTTATCTTGGTGCCACCTTTCAGTAGCCAGAACTGTTGATAAATCTGTTTTTCTTTTCCCCTTGGCTATTTAAATCATATGTTCAAACTAAGTATTAACCAGGATGAAAAGAGGCATTTCAAAATGATCCCATTTTAATTTTAAAAACATCTTGCTTTAAAGAGATAAAAGGTTTGGTCCTAAAGAAGTCTCCACAATGTTTTAAATAATTACTACCAACCCAGTCTTTCCTTCGTTCTGCTTTGACATTTGAAAGATATTTTTGTAGCATTTTCCCTCACTAAATCTTCATTTCAGTATCTCATAGTAACGACAATGTCAAACTGTTCCTCAATTTGTATCAACAGTTTAAAAAAAAAAAAGATACCCAAGGCTGGTGTGGTGGTTCATGCCTGTAATCCCAGCAATTTGGGAGGCCGAGGCAGGAGAGTCACTTGAGTCCAGAAGTTTGAGACCAGCCTGGACTGCATAACGAGACCTTGTCTCTACACAAAATCAAAAAATTAACTGGATGTGGTAGCGCACACCTGTAGACTCAGCTACTGGGGAGACTGAGGTGAAAGGATCTCTTATGCCCAGGAGGTCAAGGTTGTGGTGAGTCAGGATCATGCCACTGCACCTGGGTGACAGAGTGAGACCCTGTCTCAAAAACAAAAAAAGACACTCAAAATATCTCTATTAATAGATTCTACTGATGAGACACTAATGGCCATTTTTTTCCTCTGCCATTGGGCCTCGGGTTTGAGTTCCACTGTGTTTTCTTCCCTTTCTATCACGTTTTTCCTTTGATAGTTTTAGAAAACTCAGTCTCCAGAGGAAGAAAGTTTCCACTGTAACCAAAAAAAAAAGTAGACCAGACTCCTAGTTTGCTACCTTTTGGCAAGTTGGTAATTCAGATTTATCAGGTTCTTCTTCAAGGTATCTACTTCAAGGTATCTACTAAAAGCTAGGTGCAGTGGCTCATGCCTGCAATTCCAGTGCTTTGGGAGGAGCCAGAAGTATCATTTGAGACCAGCCTGGCCAACATAGCAAGACCTCATCTCTACAAAAAAATACAAATACAAAAATTAGCAAGGCATGGCAGTATGTGCCTATACTCCAGCTACTTGGGAGACTGAGGCGGGAGGATCACTTGGGTCTAGGAGTTGAAGCTGCAGTGAGCTATGATTGTGCCACTGTACTCCATCTTGTCTTTTTTAAAAATAATGCTGGCCGGGCTCGGTGGCTCAGCCTGTAATCCCAGCACTTTGGGAGGCTGAGGTGAGTGAATTGCCTGAGCCCGCAGGTTCGAGACCCGCCTGGGCAACTTGGCGAGACCTTATCTCTACAATAAATCAAAAAAAATTAGCCGGGTATGGTAGCGCGCGCCTGTACTTGGAAGGCTGAAGCGGAAGGATCACCGGAGCCCAGCAGGTCAAGGCTGCGGTGGCCGGGAGTGACCACTGCACTCCAGTCTGGGTGACAGAGGGAGACTCCAACTCAAAATAATAATAATAATAATGCTAAACCGGGCTCGGTGGCCCAGGCTGTAATCCCGCGCTTTGGGAGGCTGAGGTGAGTGAATTGCCTGAGCCCGCGGGTTCGAGACCCGCCTGGGCAACTTAGCGAGACCTCGTCTCTACAATAAATCAAAAAATTAGCTGGGTGTGATAGCGCACACCTGTAGTTCCAGCTACTTGAAAGTCTGAGGGGGAAGGATCGCCAGAGCCCAGCAGGTTGAGGCTGCGGTGGCCGGGAGTGTGCTACTGCACTCCAGTCTAGGTGACAGAGTGAGACTCCAACTCAAAAAATGATAATAATAATAATAATAATGCTAAAAAACCATTTCTTATACCTTTTGATATCTCAGTCATTACTGATGAAAAACAGAAAATCCATGTCTGGGCATTGACCAGGTAAGGGGGATAAGAAGGTGTAATTAGAATATAATATTAATAAAATTAAGTGTTCTAAAAGTTTAAATTTAAATTTTTTTGTTTGTTTTAAAAACATATTTTACCTGGGCATAGTGGCTCATACCTGTAATCCCAGCACTTTGGTTGGCTGAGGCTGGAGTATTGCTTGAGCCCAGGAGTTCTAGACCAGCCTGGGCAACATAAAGAGACCTCATCTCTCCAAAAATTTTAAAATTAGCCAGGCATGGTGGTGTACACCTATAGGCCCAGCTACTTGGAAAGCTGAGGACGGAGGATCGCTTGAGCCCTGGAGTTTGAGGCCATGGTGAGCTGTGATTGTGCCACTGTCCTCCAGTCTAGGTGATAGAGTGAGACCAGACTCAAAAAAAAAAAAATGTTGGTTTTCATTGCTCTATCATAATATTGCTGCTATTTTCAGTGAATGTTTTTTTAATGTATATGTAGTTAGTATATTATTTACATGATTAATGCCACCAGATCCTCAACTGGATACTTATAAATGTGTTTTGGAACTGTTTCAACCTGTGCTATAAAAATGATATAGATTGGCACATACTAAGGTATACGTGTCTTATTTAAAAATTACTAAATGAATCAATAGCAGCTATATTATACCACATTTTCTTTCATTACTAAATGATTAAATCATAGTCATATCTAATCTTTCAACAATTGTGACTTTTCTGTACAGACATTTATTATTTGCTGTCAGAGATTTATTATTAAATTTTATTTTTTTCCAGGGGCCTATCCCTAACTTACAGCTTACAAAGCCAGTTTTTCAGTTACTATACTATTGGGAGAAGGAGAAGAGAGAGCAGTTTCTAGGCACAATTTGGGAATCACGTTTCTGAACATTTACTTATTTATTTATTTTTAGTCAGAGTCTCACTCTGTCACCCAGGCTGGGGTGCAGTGGCCGCTCATAGCCACCCCAGCGTTGACCTGTTGGGCTCAGGCAATCCTCCCACCTCAGCCTTCTAAGTAGCCGGGACTACAGGCATATGCTACCATGCCCAGCTAATTTTTTGATATATTGTAGAGACGAGGTCTCACCAAGTTGCCCAGGCTGGTCGCGAACCCCTGGGCTCAGGCAATCCCCTCACCTCGGCCTCCCAAAGTGCTGGGATTACAGACTTGAGCCACCGTGCCCGACCTGAATATGAAAAAATAAAGATGAAATGTGTTTACGAAGTGTGCAAATGGATTATAGAAACAATGATATCTCAAAACCAGGAAATTTTGAAATTCTGATTTCACTTTCAATTTGTATTCATTTGTCTAAGAAGAATTTACCTAATTCCTATTGTGTTCAATATATTTTAAAGGACAACACACTTTATTGGATGTGTGTATAGCTATGTGTGTGTGTGTCTGTCTGTACACAAAACCACCACAGATTTCTTTGTGGGCTTAAAAATTCTGATGCTAGATTTTTAAACTTTTCCAAATGATTGGCTTTTATTCATTCAGTAAGTATTGAATAAATTAATTCAATACATAAACTATTATGTATTTTTCTTTAAGATGGAAATGGAATGTTTTTCTATTTTGTGGTTTTGAAGATGTTCATAATTTCTTTGATGTGTTTTTTGTAGTGTCCATTTATGGAATTTGGTTTTATGATAAGGAAGAATGCCAAAGAATTGCAGAGCTTATGAAAAAGTAAGTGCTAAAAGGCTAAATATTTTTCAGAACTCGGTGCTTTTGCTTGTATTTCTAAGTGTAGGTAACTACACTATCATTTTAACAGAATATTTATCTTACCACAGTCCTTTTCACAGTTGTTAGGAAAACATTTAGTATTACTTAATAAATGAAAAATAGACTTAAGAAACAACTTTCTACATTTTCACTAGGTAGGATTTATCATTAGAATGTCTCAAATCATTTCTTTCTGCCTATGTAAAATATATTTGAGTTGTTCCAGATGGCAATTTTCTTTAATATTTTCCTTATTTATAAATTGGGGATTTTTTGCTTTGAAAAGGTATCAATAAGTCTGTCAGTAAAAAGAGCATTCAGAGCCATCCTAAAAGTCTGTTCCAGGGTCTCTGAAATCTTTCATTTCCTTCCTCCTTCTGATGCTTTCCTTTGACTGTGCATATACAGTGTTTGTAGGAGCTCAGAATTTCCTCTCATGTCTCAGACACTGAGTACCTAGGATAGTCTTCATTTTCAATCTCTTTGGAGATTGCTGAGTTATTATTAGCTTAGTGATCAGTCAGTAGACACTGTGCATCTCTCTCTTTCTTTCTCATTACTAGTCTCTTTCTTTTAATTTCATAATATACACCTGGTGATTTGTCCCATTCTACATTTTGGGAAATTTTAAAATTACTGCCAGACTTTCCCACTTCTGGCTTCCTGATGGCATGCATTGAAAGGAGGGCCCAGGTAAGCTTGCTCTCTGCTCTGCAATTAGTGGACTCTCTGATCAGTTCTGGGGCCCCAGGGCTGCTCACTGTGAGGCATTTCCTTCCATGCTATTTATGGGGATGGGTCAGAGCCTCAAAATTAGGTGAGTTTCCTGTTTGTGCCGTGCCTCACCCTGGGCCTGGACTCAGCCAAGCACACGGGACGGCTGCTCACGTGGATGTGACACTGCAGCTCTGCATGCAAAAGAATCAATTCCCACTTTTAAATCCTGGGGCCATGAAATGACTAGAAAGTGACCGCAAGGAAATGAAATTGGGGAGCATCTTTTTTTAAAAATAAGATTGATTCCTGAAAATCTAGCTTGTGATAGCTAATTTTGGGTAACTAGCTCAAGTTGCAGTGTGATTAAATGTGTTCAAACTGGTACTTAGCCACTATAACAACTAGTTCCTACAACATTTTGGTTATTATGTATTGTGCAGTGGATAATAATAACAGGATTGGATACAGATTTAAAAATACCCTATAGCTTAGCCAAGTGGCCACTGTAAAATTGTCAGTATTCTGCAGTGATTACTTTATAGCTTAGGCAAGAAATTGATTATTACTAGCAATAGCAGCTGAGTTGTGTGGTTTCAGACCCCTTCAAAAGTTAGAATAAAATGTCTCAGTAAACTCTCAGGGCCAGGCTCGGTGGCTCAGCCTGTAATCCCAGCACTTTGGGACCCTGAGATGAGTGAATTGCCAAAGCCCACGGGTTCGAAACCAGCCCGGGCAACTTGGCGAGACCTCATCTTACAATAAATGAAAAATTAGCCAGACGTGGTAGCGCGCACATGTAGTTCCGGCTACTTTGAAGGCTGAGACGGAAGGATGGCCGGAGCCCAGCAGGTTGACTCTGGGGTGGCCGTGAGTGTGCCACTGCACTCCAGCCTGGGCCACAGAGTGAGACTCCAACTCAAACAAACAAACAAAACCTCTCAGGTCTTTTTTTACCATAAACTTCATGGCAGTAATAAAATGCTGAAAGTCAGTGCACACAAAAGGAAAAAAGTATTTTTTTCGCCATCACCTAACAGCATGTAGTAGCAATCTGGTCTCTCTTCTGTAGTGTTTTCAAGGAACAAAAGAACTCTTCATTGCCCTAAGTGGTTTTTTAAATGGCCCCTCTTTTTAGAGATGGGATGGAATCTTCACTGTGTTTCTAAACTGCCAAAGAACTGTAGAATTTGAGTTGCTGGAGTCAACTTTGCCTTGAATTCAAGGCGCTCTGTAGTGGGGCTGGGGGGAACGGGATCTCTCTTTGCCATTCAGTTTCCTGATGTTTGAGAACTCTAAGTTGCGCTTCCTCTGCAATTAATGAGAGCGAGAGTGTCCTTTCAAATGCACTAAAGGATGAGTTGACAAACTTTCGTCTGAAGGGGGCCAGAGAGTTCATAGTCTAGCCTTTGCAGTCCTTAGGATCTCTGTTGAAACTACTCAACTCTGCTCCTGTAGTTTGAAAGGAGCGGTAACAATGCATAAACAAATGGGCGTGACTGTATTTGTAACTACAAAAGCAGGTGGTGGGCTGGATTTGGCCTGTAGGTTATAGTTTGCCAGCCCCTACTCTAGATTCGTATACAAGGGGGGACCCAAAAAAACCTGGAATTTATTTATTAAAAATTGTGTATTTATTCTTATACGTTTAAACTTCAGTCGCCTTCAAAGTACTCTCCATTTAATACAGTATACCTATCAAGATGTCCATAGCTCAGAACAGATTTTGAGCTCGTCTGTTTTGATGCCTTTTAGAGCTTCTGCTATTTTTTGTTTTACCTCTTCCACATTGGCAAAATGTTTCCCTTTGAGGACTGTTATCTGGGAGGAGGGGAAGGTCACTCAGGGTGAGACCAGGTAAATAGGGAGGGTGGGGCTTGGGGTTCACTCAGTGCGGTGTGGGCAGGCGTGCTAGTAAGTCATCCGTCAGGAAGTAGGCAAATGCTTGAAAGAATCTCCAAAAAGAAGCTCACTCACAACAGCGCTAGCTGGTCCACTGATGCCGATGGATTCCTAGAATACTTACCTAGTGAGAGAACCCTGTAGTACAAGGGGCCAGCCCTCCAAAAAGATAATTCCGGGATTTTTTTGTGTCTCCCCTTTGTATTAGTCAGGACCTGAACTCTCATTTTTCTTTTTTAAACTCCTCAGCAGTCTTATTTCCAATATGCTGTGACAGGATGGAAACAACTGGGTGAGAATTGGGATGGTTTTACATAAAAAGCATTTATGTAGAATTGGTTTTTCTTATGTGGATTTTCCCCTCTGTCTTTCTAGCCTAACTCAGTATGAACAGTTGAAAGCCCATCAGGGAGCTGGAGCAGGACTCTCCCCAATGATCCTCAATTCGGGAGAGGGCAAAGAAGTTGATATCCTACGAATGCTCACCAAGGCCAAAGATGAATACACCAAGGTGAGTTTTTGCCCTTCCTCGTGATGCATACGTACTTCAGTTCCACAGTGGGAATATTGTTGAGAAAGACTGGGTCCTGCAGGTACTATTTCTTCCACCACACCAAATCGTATTAAAAATAAAATCTCTGTTTTCAGGAAGCCAAAGAAAACTGTTTGCTTTTTAAGTGGATTAAAAGGTAACCTGAAAAATCAGTAGCCTTTATGTATACAAACAGTATCTGGTTAGAAGATTTACTAGAAGACCCTTTACAGCAGCAACAAATGAATGTAAAACTCTTTATAATAAAATTTATAAGAAATGGGCAAAACCTATATGAGGAAAACATTTTTAAAGTCCTGAAAGGCATAAAAATAGACTTGAACAAATGGACATATAGGCCCTGTTCTTGGATCAGAAGATTCAACTTAAAGCTCTCAGTTCTCCTTAAATCTATAAATTTAAGATGATTCCTAAACAATCACCACTGGTTTCTTCTTTTCCTCCTCTTCTTCCTCTTCCTCCTTCTCCTCCTCTTCCTCTTCCTCTTCTTTTTTCCCCCCAGGATCCAGACAAATTGACTATAAGGTTCATGTGGAGAAATATGCAAGAAAGAATAGCTGGGAAAACCTGGCAAAGAACAACAATATTGGCAGGGTTGGAGGTGGGGGAGATGAGGGGACAGATGGGTGGGGTGTGGAGCAAGTTCTACCTGATATCAAAACATTGATGCCTAAACATGTGAAACAGTATGGTGTTGAGGGTACTGATTCACAAAGAGCCAGATAGACAAATGGGACAGATTCAAGATTGTAAGTCCAGAATTACACTCAAGTACATATGAAATCTAGGATATGATACAGGTGATAATCTCAAGTCAGCTACTGCAGTGATTTTTAAAATAAATTGTGTTGGGGCAAGTGGTAGCCATTTGGAAAAATACAAAATTGACCCTGTACCTCACACCACATACCAGGATAAATTCCAAGTGTATTAAAATTTTTAATGTAAAATATAACCATTGAGGTGCCAGAAGAAAATGTGTATGGATTTCTTTGTAATCTAGAAAAAGGGAAATTTTCCTGACTATACCTTAAAACCTAAAACAATTCAACTACATACAAATAAAAACTAAACATTTTACATGGTTTAAAAACAACACAGGCTGTGGAGGCCAAAGCAACTTCATCTTGGATGCTGATCTACCATGTTACTTCTGATGAACCCCAGTTATGGAATGGCCTCTGAGATTTATAGTTGATCTATTGTTCCTTGTGTAAGAGCACGTACTTACTGTAAATCCTGCCCTAGATTGAGCAACCTTGATGTTAATCGTACTTCAGTTGTCCTACATATTCCTTCTGAATCCCCCTTTCCCTATGATGAATAAGCCTTGGTTCTGGGGATAGTGGTACAGGGATTCACCATCTCATCTTGCCACCACCCAAGACACAGTGTTGGCTTTTGTTCATAAGATCCTGTTAGATGTTTCATTTTAAGAAACTGGATTTGTTAGCCTCTTTCTTCAGCCTCTCAGCTTCCTTGGACTTTGGGGGTAGGTTTGTATAGATCTGCCCACCACAAAATGCAAGCAGCGTAAAAGGATATAAAAACAATGTAAAAAAAAATATATTTACACTAAAATAACAGAAGGAGGATTAATTTTCCTGTTTTATAAAGAGCTGCAAAAAAATTGAAAAGTAAAAGATTAACACTCCCTGGGGAAAATGGGCCAAAAAATAAAGTCGAGGAAAAAGAAAATAAAAATTATAGAATTTAGAAACTAGCTGAAACAAATGTATGTAACTAAATATCATACTATGACATAATTACTTAGCAAAAAATTAGAATGACTTCAAAACCCATTGCTTGCACTGAACACTCTTAGGGGGTTATATTTTCAGGACAAAAAAAGTGCAAGAGATTATAAACTTCATTCATTGGTTTTTGTTGTTGTTGTTTTTGTTTTGTTTTGTTTTTTTGAGTTGGAGTCTCACTCTGTCGCCCAGACTGGAGTGCAGTGGCCGCTCCCGGCCACCGCAGCCTCGACCCGCTGGGCTCCGGTGATCCTTCCGCCTCAGCCTTCCGAGTAGCTGGAACTACAGGCGTGCGCTACCACACCCGGCTGATTTTTTGATTTATTATAGAGATGAGGTCTCGCTGCCCAGGCGGGTCTTGAACCCGCGGGCTCAGGCAATCCACCACCTCAGCCTCCCAAAGGCGCGGGATTACAGGCTGAGCCACCAAGCCCAGCTCATTCATTGGTTTTATTGGTAATGTTGAGATTGTAATTTTTCAACTATTATGGACATAATAAGAAATTATGTAAATGTGGTTGGAACTAAAACCTTAGCGTAAGGAAAAAAATGAAGTCAAAACTATACTGTTTAGTGGAAATATGAGAATTAGTTCATATTTTGACTCAGACAGTGATCATAGCAATGTTAATGTATGACAAAGACTGATGGAAACTTGACCATGAAAAATTCAGGCGGCCTCTACCTGAACCCCACTGACCAGCATAATTTAATGTTGGATAACCAGATATTATGGCTTCATAAAGTGATATGAGGTGAAAAATACAGCACTACCTTGAAATACGTTTGCCAAAAGAGTTGATCCTGAACCTAATTAAGCCTAGAGTTCTAGCTTTGTATTTTACCGAAAGTGAAAGGGGATGATGGGGGAAGGAGGGGTCAGGTAGAAAAATAAATTAAATGATACCACAAGGCAACATTCGGAAAAGTCCTGAATGAAGTGGAGCATACCGACAGTTGACCAGTTTTTTTCAGCATGCCTTTGACTTGATTGCTAGAGTGTGAGCTTCTTGAGTATGAAGAACATCCTTCACTCTTCTTTATTTCCCTAGTCATCTTCAGAGTAGTTAGCTCATGGTGAGTGGTTCATAAGACTGTGGAAGGAAGGAATTAGGAGGGATGGAAGGAAGGAAAGAAGAATGGAAGGAAGGAAGGAACGAACGAAGGATTTGGACATAAATAAGCCACAGTTTCATTATCATTCTATTGTAGGGCCTGGGCAGAAATACCATGATCCCAGCTTCAGATAGTAACAACTGTTTTTCTATTAGTTTTTATTTTTCTTTAAATCCTCAAAAGGCATTAACATAGATCCCGATGATTTGACAACTAGTCGAACAACTGTACTTTATTATTTTTTGTACTGTATTAAGCACACTAAAGATTAATCTTTAGGAGGTGACATTTCTGTCCTCTAGGAACTTACCTTCTATGAAGACAACATAGTAGTGGTCAATAAATAATAAATACAAATATTAAACAAATTATTTTCTTTTCTCTCCCTCCTCTCAACACACACACACACACACACACACACACACACACACACACACACACACACACACAGTTGTTTGTATCTTTTATCTTCTATATGCGATAATGCTTTGGCATTTTATTTATTTATTAAAAATTTTTTTTAAGAGGCAAAAAAAGATTTATTTAAAAGAGATTACTTCCCACATGTGGCCGTCTGGGGTGCAACCCAGTGCCGCATGGAAGATGCCAAGAATTGCACAGAAGTTAGATTAAAATGGCCAATGGCTGCTTGTGGCTGAATCCTTTTAACCATTCCCCTTGATGGGGAAAGATCATTAAGGTTCAATTCATGGTTTAGCTTTGGCATTTTAAAGACCTTTCAAGCTGGGGAGAGACTGTTCCTCCTAGGACCAGCCAGTTCTTAAAGCTTACAAAGGGTTCAGGCAGGATCATGCCTTTGATGTGCAAACCAACCAATCCAGAGCCAGACCTCTTCTGTCTGACCTATACAATATTCCTCTACCTTAATCAGAGGGCCTGGTTGCAAACAACTAGGGACCACCACTATAGTTTAGAGCCTGCTGGAATTACTTTTGCCCATCTTCAACTGTTTCTCAAGTCCAGCCTTGCCTCTTCTGAGGAAGAGTAAAGGCTCTAGCCTAGGCTTTCCCCTTGCTCCTGACCCCGAGGCTTCCACAGGGGGTCCTGAGCAATGGGGCATGCCACTTGTTTCTAAGACCTGTGAGTATAACAAATTTTGTTTACCTGAGACTCTTCTGTGTCTCCTCTGTGGCCTCACCTAAATGACCATCACATAAAAGTACACAGCACACACTCTCCCAGAAACTGTCATGCATGATTTTGGAGATTTAATTTAGGCTATCACTTTATACTATACCCACAACTTGGAATAGTTGGAATAGTTCCCCGTTTTTGGTGTGCCCTTCAGAATCTACATATCCTTCTAGGCCCAGTAAAAGGGCTACTCTTTACCTAGAGTTTTCCCAGATCTCTTCAGGCAAATGAGTTGTTCTTTCCACTGAATTCCCCAGTCTGTTACTATTTAGAACTTATTTTGTTCTTCCTCATTTGCTAAATCTAAGTCAACTCCCACTGTGCTGTGAACTTGTTGTAGTTCAAACAATGTTCTGTTCATCTTTATGCCCCCATGGATTTGTTACAATGTTGACATGGAATGCATATGTTTCATTAGTGTATAGACTATCTTTTCTATAAAAATCAAATACATGTTGTCATATGCATAATGTCAACTGCTCCAACTGTGAGATAAAAAATAATAGAAGAAATTATTCCTTCTTTCATTAATAGCCAGATGTTGTGATATAACATTCCAGAAGCACCTTCATGATCATGTTACTTTCCCAGTCTAAGTTTTTCTTGGTTTGTCATCGCCCAGTCCATGAACTCTTGGACTCTTCAAGCCTTCCGTCACATAGCTCAGATTATTCTTCTAACCCTACTACCTTCTGCAAATATTTGAAACACCAGCCAAACAGAATACTGATTTTCCTTCTTGCCTTTTCTCATGCTGTCCCCTCTCCTTCTTCACCTGTCAAAATATGATCAGTTCCTCAAGACAAGCTTCAAATGTTCTTTTCTCCCATGTTGTTTCTGATCAACTCAACTAGTGTACGTGTTCCCCTGTCCCGTCTGTTGCCTTGTGTCAATCCCCTTTCTTACATTTGTGTTGTCTCTTCTCCCGCACAGACATCTCAGAAAATGTGGGAATCCGTAGAGTAGTTCTCAGGTATAAAAAAGAAGGGAAATGGAAAGAGGGCAAGAAAGAAAGAAAACAGATTTTTTCCCCCCTCAGAATGTTGTGGGGAAGTGAGTCTGTTACTAGAAGTGTTCAAGAAGAGATTGAACAATTACATACTGGTGATGTCATAAAATAATTTCACTTCTCTGGGTAAGAATTAAACTAAAAGACTTCTGAAGTGCATTCCATCTCTAGAATTATTTTTTTGAAGTTTAAAAAATGTTTTAAAAATTCTTAATGAAAAATTGTATATATTTATGGTGTACAATGTGATGTTTTGATATATGTATGCCTAAGTCAAACTAATTAGCATGTATTACCTCACCTACTTATTTTTTGTGGTGAAACATTTAAGATCTACTCTCTTGGCAATGTTTATTTATGTATGTATATATTTATTTATTTTGAGTCAGTCTCACTGTCGCCCAGGCTGGAGTGCAGTGGCACGCTCACGGTCTCTGCAGCCTCTACCTGCTGGACTCAGGCCATCCTTCTGCCTCAGTCTTCCAAGTAGCTGGAACTACAGGCACATACCACCACGCCCGACTAATTTTGGGGTTTATTGTAGAGACGAGGTCTCACCAAGTTGCCCAGACGGGTCTCGAATCCCTGGGCTCAGGCAACTCTCTCGCCTCCGCCTCCCAAAGTGCTAGGATTACAGCCATCACACCAGGCTCTTAGCAACTTTTAAATGTATACTATATTGTTACTCACCATAGTCGTCATGATGTAGATCTGAACTTCTTCTTCCTGTGTAACTGAAATTTTGTGCCCTCTGACTAACTGGCTCCCCAGTCTCCCCATCCCCAGGCCCTGGCAACCACAATTCTCCTTCTGCATGACTTTTTTGGATTCCTCACATGTGGTGATTATGTAGTCTTTGCCTTTTCTTGCCTGGCTTTTCCCATGTAACAAAGTCTTCCAGGTTCATCTGTGGTGTTGCAGATGACGAGATTTCCTTCTTTTTTAAAGACTAAACAGTATTCTATTGTGTGTTTGTGCCACATTTTCTTTATTGATTCATCCATTGATAGACAATTAGGTTGATTCCTTATTTTGGCTATTGTCGGTGATGCCGAAATGAGCGTGTGGATACGGATATCTCTTCGATATACTGATTTCATTTTCTTTGGCTGTATACCCAGAAGTAGGATTCCTAGATCATGTGGTAGTTGTATTTTTAATTTTTTTTAGGCACCGCCAGATTGTTTTCCATAATAGCTGTACTAATTTACATCCCCACCAACAATATATAGGGATTCCCTTTTGTCTACATTCCTGCCAACACTTAAGCTTCATCTTTTTGATAATAGACATTCTAGCAGGTTTGAGTTGACATCTCATTGTGATTTAATGTGCATTTCCCTGATGATTAGTGATGTTGAGTATTTTTCATATACCTAATGATCATTTGTATGTCTTCTTTTAAAAAATGTCTATTCAGATTTTTTTTGTCTGTTTTTTAATCAGGTTATTTGTTTTCTTTTGATTGAGTTGTTTGAGTTTCTTATGTATTTTGGATATTAACCCCTTACCAGGTATATGGTATACAATTATTTTCTTCTGTTCCACAGGTTGTCTCTTCACTCTGTGGTTTCCTTTGCTATGCAGGAGCTTATTTGATGTAATCCCATTTGTCAGTTTTTTGTTGTTAATTGCCTGCCCTTGGGGTCATATCTAAAAAGTCATCTCCCAGACCAATGCCATAGAACTTTCCCTCTGTGCTTTCTTCTAAGTAGTTTTATAGTCCCGGGTCTAATGGTCAAGGTTCTCTAGAATTTTTAAATTTATGAAAATCCCAAGAAGTAAAAGTAGGAAAAATTTTGAGCTATAGTATGATACTGGTAAAGTCAAGTCTAGTGACACCAGCTACAACTTTTTGCAGAAGTTGATAAAATAATTAGAAAACCTTATTTTGACCAGTGTTTCTGCATTCTTCCCTGAGAAATAACTTTCTATGAATCTGCTTTAAAGTAGCAGTGATGTTACACTATACCTCCTTTTATCTCCTCCCTGTTCAATTTCTAGTTGAGATGAAAATGAACAATAAATTCACCAAAGTTCAGTAAGAAAAAGGACCAGGGCCAGAAATGATCTGTAGGATGCATGGTTATGCTTACATATTCAGAAGTGGACTGTTTTGTGTCTTGGGGTTTAAGACAAGAATTAATGGTTGCTTTCTGGATGTAGCTGTGACTTATTTATGAAGTTATTGATTTTAAGTGTCTTTTGCTCTTGAATGAGAAAATTCAGAAAAGTATAAAAAAGAAAAGCCACCTGTCATCCCATAACCCAAAGATATCTACTTTATACACTTTTATTGTATTTTCTTTCACACTTTTCTCTTGGCATAGATACATGTTTGTGTGTGTATGTATTCGTGTGTGATAAAATGGGGTTATGTAACCGAGTTTTTGACGTCTTAAAGAAATGCCTGAGGTGCTCTATGCAGAATCCATAATATACTTTTTCAAAACCTGTGATTTTTTTCCCAAGTACCTAAAAGATATTTGGACTGGGAGAAGCATAGAAAATTAAACAACTGGAAAATGAACTACAAACTATCGTGGTGGATGATTAATTCTGAACAATCTGATAAGAGGGAGCAATTTTTACATAAAAGCAAGGCTTAGTAGATAGGTAGACAGTTGTAACAACATAGCTTCAAGAGCTTCAAGGATGCATTTTAATTAGAAAAAACTCTCTGGGGGAGGGGTTATGCATATCAAGAGACAAAGCAGCCTCCTGGCCCCGTATGGATATGGATGTAAAGAAGGTGGGAAAAATCTGTTTTTCTCTGCTGAACATAGAAAGTGAAGAAGGGTCATTCAGTGAAAGTAAATATCTGCTTTCTTTTAAGTAGCAAACGGAAATTAAAGACTTTAAAAAAAAATTTTAGATTCAGGGAGTACACATGTGTATTTGTTACATGGACATATTGTGTAGTGGTGGGATTGGGTTTCAGGAGGCTCATTCCCCAGACAGTAGTTTCTGAATCCTATCTCCCCTCCTTCACCCTTACTGGTGTTTTTCAGTGTCTATTATTTCCATCTTCATAACTGTTTAGCTCCCACATATGAGTGAGAACAGCGTTGTTTTGTTTCCTGTTTCTGCGTCACTTTATTTAGGATGATGATCTGCAGCTCCATCCATGTAGCTGCACCGTACATGATTTCATTCTTTTTAATGACTGCATAGTATCCATACTAACGTTTTGTAAGGGACTGTATCTTAGGCTGTTTTCTTGTTTCAGTCAGACATGTCTTGGGAAAGCCAGGCCAGTTGGTCCATGCAGCCATGCCATTAACCACCATCATTTACCTAAGAATTGGACATAATACTTTGTGATTTATAAAGTGATTTCCCATCACGCTTAATGCTTGTGCCAAATATCTAAGTTATTGACAGAATGCTTGGAAAAAATTAATTGGTCTTTTGTATGGTTAGCCTTACAAACTTAAGTGCACACAGTGGTAGTAGACCCCCACACCTCTTTGTCCTTGCATTAGAAAGCATACCCTAATAACTGTAAAATACATACCTACAGTGTGAAATATTTTCTGGCCCGAGGACTCAACTATACAGTTGAAATTAACAATGACATAAAGAATCTGTAGTACAGAAGGTAGCATTTTTATATTGTTGTATTTGGTGTTTTAGCAAAATAGACACCAACTTTATTGCTGTGCTCTTTTTGTTATGAATCCTACTGTGTTGGCAATTGTGTGGTTGGTTAGATTAATGTATGATAATGAGTCAGTGTTTGAAATGATGAGGCTTGTCTCTTGTCTCTTTCTCTATGAAATTCTAATTTGTAGTGAGTGGCTCAGAACGTTCAGATTTGAATTATTCTATTTATACAAGAAGTCATTTATTAAATAAAGATGATGTTAGTAATTTTTAAATCAGTGAGTTGAGTCAGCTATACTTTTTGGTTTGTAGACTAAAAAGGTTTATTTAGTTGCTTTGATGAAATTTACTCAGCAACTCACCAATATTAAGTCAACAGCTAATGGAGGAAAAATACCCTACTGTGGTCTAGATGTGTGCTTCAGGGAGTAGTTTCTACAGTTGCTTCTCATCGAAAAGCATTAGACTATATATTTTTAAATATATGATCTATATACTAAGCGTGTATGTTTAGCCTTTCAATTATCCATGTGTCTAAAAACCCCTTAGTACTACAGTCTGATGTTGATAACATTTTAGAACACTGAACTGTGCAGCTAAGAAAAATTACATTTGAACTTGTTTTATATTTAATTATAGCTCATATCATAGAATTTTAAAGGATTTTCCATTGTGCATGAAAATACTTAGAAAAATAACCATCTATCAGTGCGATAAGAAACAGAAGATATGCTCTTTAAAGAGACTAAAGCTTCTTTTGCACCAAAAAGAGGTGTTTTTTTTTCCCATTTCAGTGTAAAACCTGTTCAGAGCCAAAAAAGATAACCAGTTCATCTGCCATCTATGACAACCCCAATCTCATCAAACCAATTCCAGTGAAACCCAGTGAAAACCAGCAACAGCGTATACCTCAGCCCAGCCAGGTACAAAGTCCTCTGCTTTTCATATTCAGCATCTCTGTAGGGTTTTTTTGTTTACTTGTTTCATATATATATTTATATATGGCACAGTTTACATTACACAAGAAGGCATGAGAACATGCTGAAGATTCCATTACTTCCATTTTCTCTTCACGTAGGATCTAGAAAGGACTTTATTACATACAGGATAAACAGCCAAAAGGTCTGCATAGAACAATCCCTTTACAATACTGAAAGCTGCCACTACAGTTCCGATGTACATAATCCCCAGATTTTTTTTTCTATGTAGTTGTTGTCTAAATACTGTACAATATCTAGAGTTTACAAAAATTGAAGCTCACAACTAAACCTTCAGTTTACTACTGAAATAGATCTCTCTACTTATTAGAAACAATGGTCTGTAGTTAACTTTTTTTTCCTTCAAAACCAGGATAACAATATCAGATCAAACTTTAATCTACTATCTGTAGGATTCTTAAAGAACTTTGACCAATAGTATAGTTAAGGAAGGGCCTGGTGCTTTGAACAATGCTTCAACATTCAGATAAATCCAAGAAAGAGATTTCAAATTAAAGATTTTTTTCATTATTAATAATTTACTCTCTCTAGAAAAGGGTTAAATTTTTTTACTTTTGGTATTTTGTGTTAATCTCTCGTGGACTTGAAATCCTTAAAAGATAAAGCATTAAAAAAAAAAAAAAAAAACCAGAAAACTAACAACATCGTCAGAGATAACAGGAACGCTCCCCACTGGGTCCATATTCTTCTGGAATAGGTGGTTTCCCAAGGCTACTGAGAGAACCACACAAGGCAATAGAATGCGTTTAGCATTTCTGAGCGCCTCCTTTTTCTTGATACCAGGTACAAGGTAGCACTGCATCTGTAGATTGGGATAACTGTTCTCTGAGAGCTCAGAGTCTAAAAAGTGGCCTAAAATTCCCCTTTAGATCTGATACCTTGTCGCTATATTTACAATCTAAATATATATAAAGGTTATAGCAGCTCTTGTATTAGTGTACATATTTTTCAAAATAGTAGAGTGATGACAAAAACTACCAATCTGCAGGTCTCATTATTGATTGTAAAATGTGTCATTTTATCATGATTACTCCTAATTTTAAGTTTCTTTTGAAAAGGAAATTACTTTAAATCAGTTTTGAAAATGACCATGGAACCAAAAGTCATAAAGACTTGCTAATCAAAGTCTTATATTGAATTTAAAAAATTTTTTAAAGCAGGAAGTCTTTTCTAATTGTTTAAGCTTTCTTTTATTGTTTGCTTTCCATAGAAATTTTTTTTTTTTTTTAAGTTGGAGTTTCACTCCGTCGCCCAGACTGGAAGTGCAGTGGCCGCTCCCAGCCACCGCAGCCTCGACCCACTGGGTTCCGGTGATCCTTCCGCCTCAGCCTTCTGAGTAGCTGGAATTACAGGTGCACGCTACCACGCCCGGCTGATTTTTGATTTATTGTAGAGATGAGGTCTCGCTGCCCAGGCAGATCTCGAACCCACGGGGAAATTTTTAAATTATATTTTAATAGAGAAGCCAGAATATGTTGACTTTAGAATGAAGCTCACATCGTCATAGTGCAACAACACAGAAGTAACAGAGGAACTAGAGGTGATATATAGAGCGGGAAGGAAGTAGCTTTGCAGCTGGCTGGACCCAGGTAGATTTTATGTGCCTGATGATGTTTTTAAACACCACCAGTATATAGTTGAGAGGGTCAAGTTAGACTAAATGACATGTTTCTTGCCAGCCCTACATTTCGACAGTTCTGTGAAAAGCTACCCGGAATCCTGAAATGCTCATATTCCTGTGTACTCTCAGTGTCTTTGTGTACTCTGCAGGGTTAGACAGGCTTCCTAGTGAAGAGATTATTTATCTTTTAGCATATTAATTTTGTATCATAGTAGCCCCCAATCTGTGAAACCCCAGGCCCCTCGGGGATCATACGGCTGTTTTATCCATCAGCACATACTAAAATATAACAACTCTCTTGGGGAGAGGAGAATGCTGTGAAAATTTTTGACATTTAAAAGGAGGGCTCACATTTTGAAACTTTATTCATCTTTTTTCACCTTCTCTAATCGATCCTTTGTAAATAGAAGAACTCATCAGTCAAGCAGGCTATATTTCATATTTCATAGCCCTTCCCCATATACCCAAATTGTATGTGGACCCATCTCAGGTATCTTTCTTTTTTGCAGACCTTAGAACCTGAACCCCAACACTTGTCCTTGACAGCTCTGTTTGGGAAGCAGGACAAAGAGCCTCCACAGACTCTCTACCACCATCAGCAGCAGCAGCAAGAGAAGCTTCTGATTAGGCAGGGGATGGTACGCTCTCTGTCCTATGAGGAACCCAGAAGACACTCACCCGCCATTGAGAAGCAGCTCTGTCCAGCCATTCAGAAGCTCATGGTCAGGAGTGCAGACCTCCACACATTGTCAGAACTGCCTGAAGCCCGGCCCTGTGAAAATGGCAATACCCATTCGGCAGGGGAAGTTTTTACTGGACTTGTCCAGCCAGGGTCTCCCCATAACATGAGGACTGCTCACAGTGTGCAAAGTTCCAGAACTCAGAACCTCTTAGAGAAACTTCAGAGTGCCCCAGGAGCCGCAAACAAGTATGACCCTATTCCACCAGCAGCTGCCAGCTCAGCTGCCCTGAACTGCAGCAGAGCTCCCCCTTCTGCCACCCTTGTGGCTCCAGGAAAGGGTCTGGCTCAGTCACCGCTGGTCTATTTCAATGGCTCCCTTCCACCTCAGGCCCTAGGACATCAGGCTCATGGGAGAGAACAGTCCATACACCCAAGACAAATGCTCCCCATCCCTGGCAGTCAGACTGGCAGTTCCGGAGTGGTCTCTCCTCAGGAGTTACTGAAAAAGCTGCAGATCGTGCAGCAAGAACAACAGCTGCATGCATCTAACCGCCCAGCCTTGGCAGCGAAGTTCCCTGTGATCCCTCCGAGCTCTGGAACTGGGCGGCCCTTGGAACCCTGGATCCACAAGGCCTCCAGCACAGAAAAGCAGACTCCTCTTTTGCAGGTAAATATCTACCAAGGGCAAAAAACAAAGCCAAGAAAAAGGTATTACTATGATGCAGTGAAATTTAGAGTCCACTTATGTGCTCCAGGGGCCATGTATCATATAAGTTTCTGTTTAGAACAGGGTGCCAAAAGCCACATCTCTGCTCCTTGATCGCCTTAACTTTCTGTCTGGAAGGAGAAGCTTCATTGTGCTTAGCAATCTGGGAACTCCCACACTCGCTCCCCCTTTTAGAGAGAGTTGATATGAAGAATTAAATCTTTATGATGTTATAAGGTCTGAGAACCAGCATAGACAGAGGCGAAAACCCTAATCTTTGACTGTGGAAATTTAGTAGGGTCTGCTTTGAAATCATTCGGGGATACCAAACATCTGACTGCTTGTTTTTTTCTGTCTACAGTAAGTGATTGTTTATTCATTTATTTAGTAAATATTTTTGAGCACTTACTGCATGTCAGGTATTGTGCTACATCTGGGTACATAATGATAAAGAAAACTCCCTGCCTCTACAGAGCCCACGCTGCAGGTTCTTGAAGTGAACAGAAAACTCTTTAAGAGTACAGCCTGTTTTTATCTCTCTCTGCATCATCTGTGTAGCTTAATAAAGATCAGGAGAGGAATAAGTAAGTCGCCCCCTCCCACCTCCACCGCCCACACAAACTGCCAGAGAGGGGGAAATACTGTGAATTTTAGAAATATTCTGTCCTTTAAGGAACTTTTTTCCCCTTTGGATTAATACAAATTTATTTAAAATGCATTGGGTTTAAAAAATGGGAAAGTTAAGCCGGGCTCGGTGGCTCAGCCTGTAATCCCGCACCTTTGGGAGGCTGAGGTGAGTGAATTGCCTGAGCCCACGGGTTCGTGACCTGCCTGGGCAGCGAGACTCATCTCTACAATAAATCAAAAAATCAGCCAGGTGTGATAGCGCATGCCTGCAATTCTGGCTACTCGGAAGGCTGAGGCGGAAGGATCACCGGAGCCCAGCAGGTCAAGGCTGCGGTGGCCGGGAGCGGCCACTGCACTCCAGTCTGGGCGACAGAGTGAGACTCCAATTCAAAAAAAAAAAAAAAAAATGGGAAAGTTCTCCTACATGTCACATATATCGTTGACCTTTGTCGTGTGTTGTCGTTTATAACCGTTCCTTAAAATCTTTCACATTTTGGAAAACAAAGATCTTAGGCACAGATCTTTTTTTGTAAGTCTTTGAGTGTATGAGACCCCCTAGTCAAAGCATTCTCATTTGATATTTATTAAAATCCCTAATCTGAATACCTACTGCCACAGAAACAATATTTGTGATTCACCCTCACCTTCATTTTGGTGTCACATTGTCCCTGTTTTTAAAATGTCTGCTTTTTTTTCCTTTGGTGATTTAGAATTAGAAAATTGGGATTAATAGTCTGACTTGCATGTCTGCATGTATAATTCCCGTTACTTTTCAGCACTCACAAATGTCAAGAGCCAAGTAAGGAAAGTGCACGTTTTGTCAGCCCACACCGTGTGCTGAGTGCTCTAAGTCCTCCTTAGGGAAGAACCAGTTCCCAGCACCTCTCCTCAAAATGTCAAATAGGGACAAGTTAAAAGAAACAAACAACCTTCTTTTCTCTAGGCTGGTTTTTGCTCAAAAAGGTGTTAAGAGAGTGATTATAAAATTCCAGCAACTTCTGGATTGCTGGCCTTTTGTCTCCCTTTCAGGAGTTATTTTGGGGTACCAGGAGGCTCATAAATAACATTTTTTTTCTTACCTGAGGTAAAAACAAACGATAGCTGTAGGAGTCAGTCAGATAGAGATCAAAATGTCACTTGCATAACTGAAAAGGCTGTTGGAAAACTCAGTTTGGGGTCGTTAGCCAAGTGGGTAAGACCGATAAGGCCCTGGCAGCACTGAGATGGGCAGCCCCCAGGGCTACGCCCAACATGCCAGGCTGCAGAAGCAGAAAATGCATGCTGTCTGCATCAGGCAGACCCTGCCAGCGAAGGGCCCAGAGCAGGTGGACCCATAAGTCACTATCCCTCCAGTGAGATGTGAGTGAGGCCACAGAGGGGGCAGGAGAACTGCTCCCACTGCGCTTTCTCTGCTCAGAGGGTCAAGACGGGGAATAGGATGGCCCTGACAAGTAAGGGCGACAACTTGCGTAGCTTGTTAGACCTTCAGGTCAGAGTAGTAGACACCCAGGCCTGCAGAAAGGGCCAGTGGCCCCAAATGCATGTTGCCAAATAAGGATAGTAAGCCTGAGAGTAAAATATTACCCAGAGGCCAAGCTTTATAGGCAGTGGGAACAGTGGTCACCACAGCAGGCTATACCAGAGCTGCTCAGTAAGGATGAAGAAAACCATACAGAGAATTGGACAGGAGTCAGTGATCTATCAGCTTTTCCCACCTCATGGGGATGTGAACGGTTCAATCTACCAGTATCCACGACTGTGAATGAGGGCCGCTCTATCTCTGCCTGTCATTTCAGTGAGCTACTCCCTAATCCCACTCTCTGTGTATGTATTTGCCACAAGCAGGTCATCTCACCTCAGTGCATCCCTGCTACGGCGGCTCCTTCTCTGCTCATGCCCCCCATGGTGTTCACACAGTCCGCCTCTGTCCCACCAAAGGAAAGGGATAGTGGGCTCTTGCCCATGGAAAGCCAGGAGCCACCCGCAGCTTCCAGCAGCCTCCTTCTGCCTGTGCAGAGCCCGGATCCCTCCGTGGTCACCGGCAGCCCACTCAGCAAGCTCCAGCTCCAGGAGGCACTGCTGTATCTCATCCAGGTAAGGGGACACGCCATCTCTCCGGACCCCACCAAGCCTGTCGATCTGCTGGTTGTGACTCTGCTGATACCTATTTAGTGCTCCCCAAGAATAAGAGGGCGTACTAGCAAACCCCAACATTGTCTGAGCTCAGTTAGCTAGATGATATTTACAAGGCCAAGTGGGGTTTTGGGTTCTCAACTCTTGGAGGGTTTGTAATTTGGAGGAGTGACTAAGGCCTCCACGCTGTCACCCATGAGAAAAGAAGGAAGCCTATGCAGATGATTCAGCCGTCACTGAGAGGACTCTGGGTGCTGCAGGGGACCCAGACTGAGACCTCCCCATAATGGCGGTCAGAGCAGTCCTAGGCAGGTGGCTGTCCTCGAACAGAGAATCCAGCAGACTGTTGGGCAAATCAGACACAGGCGGGGAACTAGAAATGTCTGTGGCTGCTCAAGGCATATGTCACAAGTAATTTTGAAACCTGCTCATTAGGACAGTATGGAGTGATGAGACTCCTTGTCAGCCCCTGTCTATGAAATAATAACGAGAACAATAATAGCTCACACTCACGTGTGCTGTGTGCACATGCATTAACTCATTCAGTCCTTACTCAACAACCCTGTTATTTTTTCTGTTCTAGACAAGGAAACAGGCTAAGCAACCGACCCGCGGTCACTCAGCTTGTAAATAAGCAGAACTGGGATGTCCCAGTGTGCCCCTGAGTGCCTTTTTCTACCGCATTCCACTGTTGGCTGCTTTAGCAATGTGAGTGTCATGGTGTCAGGCCGCCTAGCAGAGCTCACCCAGAAAATGAATGGCAGCCTTGGAAAGTGGACACTTGGAATCAGCTGGACTCCAGATACCTCAGTTAACGTATTTAGGTATCTTTTGGGTAGAGAGTCTTTCAGAAAGCTTTTGTGGCACTTTGCTTAAGCTCAGATGACTCAGAGAGCAGGCCAACCCTACTGCAGTGGTCTCATCCTACTTAAGAAGACAGTGTTACTTAAGAAAACAATCTGCGATAAAAGGTACGATTTTAGAGCGAGTAGAAGGATGGGGCTGAAATCAGCATCTGTATGTGGAAGCATGGAAACCATCTGATGTAAATAAGGTCAACAACGAATGGTTGAGCCTTTCTGATTCATAAGTAATATCAGCGTACAAATGTTTTCCACTTTTTTAAAGCTACTCCTGATAATGAGGATTTAGAAAGGACATCTGTGAACTAATGTACTGTGAGCAGTAAAGAAAATAATAAACTGAAGTTTGAATTTTAAAGACCCTTATTTTTTCTGGCCCATTTCATTCAGATCAGCTTGTTCCAAGACTCTGGAAGTCTAGCGCAGTTCCCGTCCATTGCTGTTAGGAACGACATTCCTGTTCCCTCCACTCTCTGCATAGGTTTTTCTTCTACCCATGTTCTAACATCATCTTCTTGATATACTGCTATAGAAGTGACTCAAGCAGTCTGTTTTGGAGTCGCCCATTGTTAAGACAAATATTTCATCCATAGAGACTTTGTGGCTACAACGCAGAAGAAAACGAGGATAATATCACTCTCTCCATTGCATGAGAATAATGCTGACTGTGTGTGGGGCGCCAAGAAGGAATGAGAGTGTGGGTGAATTACTAACGCTTTAGAGAATTTGGGTGGAATAGAGGAGTCTCTAGAATTAAAAATCAACAAAACCACTGATTAGACTGTGATTCTCTCTCACACCTTCACTAGGCAAAAGAGCCCAAAGACCAGCAGTCTAACTCCTGCCCCATTGCCAAGGCCAGAAACTTTTCATAACTCATGGGAAGACCTATCCTGACTTTGATGAATTAGTGACAAAGCACATTGCATGTAAAATCCTAATACCCAAACTAGATACCTTGTGGGTGACTTGGAGAGTCTTTAGTAACCATAGCAATCTCTTAACCAAGCTTTGAGACCACGGACCTAGATCAGCTCCTCCCAGTTCACCCCTCTGCTGGGGCCCTGGGTCTTTTTATGCAGCAGAATCAGGCTGTTCCTGCGTAAACCATGCTCCAGACTGCCCCGTGGCTGGGTTGCCCATCTGTGCTGCGTGTCATGAGCACTTTCTGCTTCATCCTGACTGTTGGAAACCAGCAGCTCTGTCCAACCCGGCTGTCAACCTCACTTCACATTCACTCATGCACTTAAAAACCACCACCTGTTAGGTCAGACAAGTAGAGATGAGCATCTTAGTGTCCAAAATGCCAGTTCGGCGCCAACACAGAAGAAGCCTTTTGTTTCTGCCAACCAAATTACATTCCCTTGGGTCTTGTGATTTGTTTTCCAGAATGATGACAACTTCTTAAATATAATCTATGAAGCCTATCTCTTCAGCATGACACAAGCAGCCATGAAAAAGACCGTGTGAGAGCAAATCCTCTTAAAACTGATTTTCAAGGTTCTTCTAGAACTCCAGCTCAAGGTTCTTTCATGTCAAATGGTGTTTCCTGAAATGTTTCTGCCTTTTTAAAAAAGTATGTGTAATATGAAGTAAAACGTTTCAGACTTTTTCTGTATAGTCAAGTGTGTTGTTTAAATAGTATCCTTGGCCGGGTACAGTGACTCAGCCTATAATCCCAGCATGTTGGGAGGCCGAGATGAGAGATTGCCCGAGCTCAGGAGTTCAAGACTAGCCTGGACAACTTAGTGAGACCTCTTCTCTGCAGTAAAAAAAAATCACAAAAACTAGCCAGGCATGGTGGTGTGCGTCTGTAGTTCCAGCTACTTGGAAGGCTGAGGTGGAAGGATCACCGGAGCCCACCAGGTCGAGGCTGTCGTGGCTGTGAGCGTGCTACTGCACTCCAGCCTGGGTGTCAAGAGTGAGACTCCAACTCAAAAATAAATAACTAAATAAATAACATCCTTCAGTATACCTGGTACTAAGAATCGAGTGGGTGGGGAAGTCCTTTGCTCAGGTCATGCGGTTAATGCCAAGCTTAAATTATTTTTCTTCTAATACGATGAGGCCATTCTTAGAAGAATCAACCTCTCCTTAGGAAGGGCTGTTTTTGGAACTCGGTCGCTTTATTTATTAATAGCTCTGGTTATTCTTCGAACACAGTGTGCCATTTCCCCGTTGCTGAACTCTGTGTGCACAGTGCATGCCGACCACCAGGTGGCAGTGTCTTCCCACAAGTTCACCTACAAAGGCTTTAATGAGCCACTGGAAGTAATGATGGTTTTCTTTTACCAGACAAAGTAAATCTTTCATTTGTAAAAATCCGGTGGGCATGTTTTACCCAGTCCTTTGAAGGAAAATTATTTCTAAAGTTTTTATAGCTAGTTTCTAGAGGACGGTTGTTCTAGGAGTCGATAAATGACCCAAATTTCCAGCAACACTTCATCTATCCCAGCTCATGTTATTTCTTTTGGACCCAATCAGCAGGATATGCCTGCCTGTGCTTCCAAATGAACCGTCTCTCACTTTTAGCAGAACGTGCTAAGGGGGGTCACCGGAGATTGTAAAGCCTTTTGTTGGCCTGCATGAATGTGGATGTTCATGGACGTAATGATAAGGATTCTTCAAGCCATGTAGCAGATTGATTTTTATGTTCCCAGAGAGGAGGGGCTTAATCTTGGAAGGAGTCGGAAGAGCCCTTGCCAAGTTGTTGAGGCCCCCAGAGTATGTATGGAAGTCAGTCTCTGCTGAGTGTTAGTAATAAATAAAGCTTTGCATTTCTATGGCCCTTTCATTCTCGGATCATAAAAAGATCCTTAGATTAGTGCACAGCAGACAGGTTTTATTCTCATTTTATCGTTCATAAAATAGAGGCATGAGGAAATAGGTTTCCTTGCGGTTTCCGATACCTAGACTTGGACTTGGCGCTTCAGACCTTTTTTCAGACACAACATTCTGTGAAAGGGTTATTAGAACACCTCCTCCCCCTTGCTCCCGCCGGAGGTATTTTTCTTCTGAGGAGCAAAGGTGGACAGAAAAGGAATTGACTTTGACTGAACCCTTGTTATGTGTCATAGTTTGGCTGAGGAGTCTACTGTGTTGTCCTCTGACCCTTAGGAAGGTCGAGTTATTTTGTTTCTTCAGTATTTTCTACAACATCTAACATAGTGTTAAACCCATGTGAAGTTCTCAAAAAATACTTGAAATTAATAATTGCACATATACTATCCCCATGTTCTTATAAGGAGAACGGAGCCAGGAGAGAGTCACACCTGGATCTGTTATCCCAAAATCCATGGTAATAGTGCTTGCTTCAGCAACACATGTACAGAAATGGGAATGAAATCAATGATACACTTCACTGCTGGCCAACCTTAGAAGGAATCTACTTGATCTTAATTACATGTTTAGAGTTGCCTTTGTAGCTAGGGACAGATGAGTTCTGTTTTAAATATTTCTAATATATTTACTAATTTCGTAAAATATTTTTTCTTTTGCTTCAGAATTGAATAAACAAAACAGAAAGAAATCCCAGTTGCAGCGTCTAATGTGAAAAAATGCCCGTGTTCTGATTTGATAGAGAAATGAACCCCAGCCCAGCGTGGTCAGACCTACCCTGCAGGCTTCAGTCGGGCCTTTTTAGGTCGACACCACAGTGATCTGTTTTGAAAAATAATAAATTCTTCATCCTTTACTGGAATAAATCACTTGAAAAGTGACAGGCCCAATTCATTTAGACCAAAGACTAAGTCACCCTTTTAAAGGGCAGTTGGTGATGGAGTGCTTATTTCTTCTATATAGCAAAGCAGATGAGAGCCTCTTTGTACAAAGATCTTTCTCTAGAGAATCCATGAAATAGATCATAAGGGTTATCTAAGGTACCCAAAGTTAGCTTTCATAAATAAATTAACTTTTCTTCTTCCCACTCTCCCCCTGAATTCTGAGACCATCACAAATGCCACTCCTGGGTGCCGCTGGCTCTCAGGCAGCAGTTTTAACCTCACTGAATTCCAGGTGGAACCCTGAGACACTTGTTAGCAAAGACGGCATTATGTAATACGGTGATTTCAACCTTGTGGAAGTTCCAGAAGTCACAGCTGTGTGGTGTGGAGGACAGAGGGCATGGCCTTCGGGGTTGGCAGACCCAGCTTCAACTCCTGGACAAGTGAATCTCTCTGAGACTTTGTCTTCTCATGTGTAAAATGAAAGACCCAGACCAGGCACGGTGGCTCAAGCCTGTAATCCCAGCACTTTGGGAGATCGAGGCGAGCGAATTGCCTGAGCCCGCGGATTCAAGACCAGCCTGGGCAATATGGTGAAAGCTCATCTCTACAATAAAATAAAATTAAAAATGAGCTGGGCATGGTAGCGCGCGCCTGTAGTTCTGGCTACTTAGAAGGCTGAGGTGGAAAGATCGCCGGAGCCCAGCAGGTCGACGCTGGGTTGGCCGTGAGCATGCCACTGCACTCCAGCCTGGGTGACGGAGTGAGACTCCAACTCCAAAAGGAAAAGAAAAGAAAGACCCTCACAGGGTCCTTATGACGATTAAATGAGAGCAACATGTGTCGAAAGGTTCTTCCATGCCGTGTGCTCTGGAGTCTAGAATTCTCTCTGCCCCTCTGCAATGTACACGGTTCCTGGTACTCCAGCCACTGGAGAGGCCCACAGCTGCTGCAGTGGAATCCCTAATTTACTGTCCACCATGACCCAAGCCTGATGTTGGCACCTGGGTATCTGTGGGGTGGCTTTGTCCTCTTCTCCCCTTTGTTGCTTTAGCAATGAAATGGAAACAGTAACACGTATCCTTCCCTACTAAGGAAAAGCCACAAGCTCTTTAAGACAAAGGTGTCAGTGTGACCCAATCGTATTATTATCTATTAGCAGTATTATGTTAGTATTGTTACCACCCCTGCATTTATGGATAAAGCACCATATTCACTGCAAAGCCAGAGACGGCAGTGCAACTTGATAGGATTTGTGCTTTCTGGGCCTTCTAAAAAGAAACACACTGCTCAGTCTTCCCGTTCCGAAGCCAGGTGTGGTGATAACTGCAAAGGGAGAGAAATGCTTGTCAGAACACCCAGTCCTGCCGATACCCAGCCACCTACAACTGGCTTCTTCCAGTTCTTCTTGAAGGCAGACCCAGGGCAAAACAGCTCCCAGGCTGATGGATCTCCCCTGAAATCACACTGTTTGCATCTGGTAAGTTCATCCTTCCCTCAGCCTTTCGACTTTTCACATATCCCATGACTGAAGGACTCTGCTTTCTTCCTCTCAAATGAGAAGGGTGAAAACCAGAAAAGAGATGGCCTTCCTCCTAAAGACACCCCAACTATTGAGTCACGTCGGCCCTCTCCAGGTCTCTTGCGTGAAAAATGAAAGCCAGCAGTTCACACGTGATGAGGCCCATTTTCCTGGAGTGGTGTAATACTGAGGCTGGGCGGTGGCACCTCAAAAACAAGTACCCTGCCCCCAGGGTGGCTCCAGCCCTGTGTCAGTATCGATGCAGGGAAGGTGAGGATCTCGGAACTGAGCTGTAACGACAGTTCTTGTTTGTAGGGCAGGCTGAGGTGGGGTGAGGCGCTGGGGACAGTTTTAGGAGCGATGCCTCCAGACAATAGAGTGATTGCTCACTCCTATTACCAATAAAGAAGGCTTCTCATGGCTCATGCCTGTAATCCCAGCACTTTGGGAGGCCACAGTGGGAGGACTGCTTGAGCCCAGGAGTTCGAGACCAGCCTGGGCAACCACAGCAAGACCTCCTCTCTACAAAAAAAAGAAAGGAATAGCTGGGTGTGGTCATGTGCACCTGTAGTCCCAGCTTCTCAGGAGGCTGAGACGGAAGGATCGCTTGAGCCTAGGAGGTTGAGGCTGCAATGAGCCATGATCGCACCACCACTCTCCAGTCTGGGCAACAGAGTGTGACCCCTGACTCAAAAAAAAAAAAAAAGACTTCTTTTTTCCCACAGGACTTGCTTTCTTCTCAGAGGAATCCGCCTGCCTCCCAGACCCTGGGACACGGCATTGTCTGAAAGGTTAAGTGCATCGCTCGCAGCCAGCAGGTTGTGGCCACACTGCACGCGTCGGTGAGTCGCTCCAGCATTCGCCAAATGTTTGGTTTTCAGATCTCAGATGCTCCACCCTCCGCTCCTCTTGCAATTAGGGGAGTGAGCAAGACAGCTACAAATACTTGGTATATTTAACTCAACCCCGGGTATCTAGACAGATTTCCTCCAAACTGAGTCATGTGCAATGCCTTCCAACAACTTAGAGCCTTGAGAAAAGTACACAAATAAAAACTGCGTGTGCAGTCTGTGGTCTTCAAACATCGGCGGGGGGGCTAGGGCAGAGTGCCATCGGTAACTGACGTCCCTGGGGCTGGGCCGGGAGCCAGCCAGCAGCCCAAGCTGTGCTGCCGAGTTTCCGAAGGAGGGAAAAGTAAGAAATCCACGCCTTAGACAAGTTAACTAAGGACACGGCAGGAAGAAAGTAAAAAACATTCCAAACAGGCAAGAGAGAAAGGGTGGGAGCCCTCGGAGTCATGGACCAAAGTCTGAGAATGTCCCTGGAAGTCTTAGAACCACGGTGAAAGGCACTCGATGTCTAGGGCAGGGC